TCTATCTATCTATCTATCTATCTATCTATCTATCTATCTATCTATCTATCATCTATCTATCTAATCTATCCACCTACCTACCTATCAAATGTTAAACTAAATAATGCATCCAAACTCTTGTACACTTAGAGTAGCAATAGTATTTAGATTTGCATACCATTTCATTGTGCTTTGCAGCCCTCTCTAAGCGGTTTACAAACTCGACACATTGCCCCTAACAATCTGGGTCCTCATTTTACCAATCTTGGAAGGATGGAAGGCTGAGTCAACCTTGAGTCAGTGAGCATTGAACTGCTGGCACTCAGCAGAATTAGCCTGCAATTCTAACCACTGCGCTACCATGGCTCTTAGTAAAGAGTCACCTGGAATTTCACACTAAATAGTTAACTGCTTCTTGCCATCAGCTTCTAACAATTCATGTGGAAGCAGCAAAAGTTAAATAAGAGAAAACATCAAAAAATCTTTCAAGGCAAGGATGCCAATGATACATTGGGAACAATTTCTGTGCTGCTTACACAGTGCTGGTCGAGGAGACTGATAGGTAGCATATAAGCAAAGATTCCACCATCTATTAAGGAAAATGAGATAGCTGCCAGTAACTTTCTCTCAGGCCTTTACTAGTACTTCAGAGGCTGAAGGTTGTCACCACTGCCAAGAAACCAAAATAGGCTAATTTTATATGCGAGCTGTTTTTTTTTTTTAAATGAAAAGATAAGCTGCATCTTTTAATATTCAACCTTTTCAAGGTTTTCCCAATCTGCGATTCAAAAGTGGCAGAACATCATTTTTCTCTGCTTTTATCACAGGCCCTTGAACCTGCCAGGGGGGATTTAATGCTGACTTACCGCCATGCGGTGCTGCTTTCTCAGCTGCTTCACTCGTACTTGGTCCAGGTTTGTAGCAACATCCTTTTCAGGCTGATCTAAGTCTTCAGCATATCTTTGCACCAAAGGTTCAGGAATCCCACACCGGCCATGCTGCAGAGGTCCAGATGAAAATTCAAGTTATAATGACTTAAGCAAAGTTCTATTTAAGAGTTCCTTCTGATATTAAGTAATGGTTCCTTAAGGAATTATAAGAAGTTTAACTTGGCAACTATCTTTTCCATATATTTGCACATCTACATTTATGATTCGATATTTTTTTCAGTAATTGTACATGGGTTTTATGTAAATTACCAGGGAGTAAATCTATTTCTTAAGAATGTTTGTGGAGATTCTCAATCATCCAGGTTGTGGTTATCCCAATGATCCTTTTCAAGGAAGTTGAACTTTCTTGATTTTTCAGAACTGAAGAAGCTTCTTGAATATAAAGCAAAATATTTTCAAGGAAAAATCAAGAAAACACAGATGCTATTTGAAAACCACCTTTAGGATATTCCTTAAGAAGTCTTAAAAATCAATGCCCTAATCCATTGCTCTCTAAGTGTATTACTCATAATTTCTGTGCAGACTGGTGTTATGAGTGTTAAATTCAAAACATTTGAATGGCATAATATTGAGGGAGGCTGGTCTTGAGAACATTGGTGTAAAGGGGCTCAACAAACAAAATCAAAACAAGCAGACTTTAAAAAAGCAGACTTCAGTATGCACTTTATCATTAAGATTGATAGATCTAAGATGTTCCTGGAAAGCCATTTTTGTGTAGTAGTTAAGGCATCAAACTATAAACTGGGGGACTGAGAGTTCTAGTCCCACCATAGGCACTGAGCCAGCTGGGTGACCTTGAGACAATCATCCTCTTTCAGCCTTATGAAGCAGGCAAGGGCAGAAAACTTATGCAATTTTGCCAAGAAAACAGCAGGGACTTACTTGTCCTGGTAGCAATTAGGGGTCAACGGTGATTTGAAGACACCAAAAAAGGAGATGTCCCTAACTTTGCTTCATTGAGTCTGTTCCAAGCACTATACAAGTGAATACGATCTGTTGCTTTTATAAAAGCTAAATTTATATACTCATTGGCAGTATAGATAGTGGCCTTTATTGGTAGGCCATTTTGTGCTGCCATACAGATGATATTCACTACATGGAAACTATATCAGGATTTGCAACTATATTAGGATTTGCAACTTCAGTTACATTTTTGATGTATAGTAGTTCCCACGTTGATAATTACTAATGTTCAAAATGAAAACCTTTTAGCAGAACAGTGAAAATTGTTTAGTATAGTATATATCTCTGCCAATGGCTTACTATACTCACTACTGGAGCAAAGTATATCTACTTATGATTACTAAAATACATGAATCCAATTGGGGTATGATACAAGACATTCTAAAGGTTAAAAGAATTAAAAAAGTATTCCAAAGAATGAACATTAGAAAAATAATAATTTTCTGGCACCTTATCAGAATAGGGCTCCTCTGTAAGATCAATATCTTCAGACTGCAGCTTATTTTCTATCAACATTTCAAGATCCAGTCCTCTATTACAGGATATCTTCCTTACTGAAGAAGGGTCTAGTTTTAACACATGTTGCTGGACACTAGCCGTTTCTGGAAGGTCAGACAACCAAGGGGGCCTTATGCTGGAAGGACTTTTGGGTTCCTGATCAGGAAATGTTCTGCATGCAGTCAGTTCATGGGAACTGGAGGAACCCTGTAGTGTAACTTTTTTTGCTGGCAAAGAAGGTACATCTGAACAAGAAAGAGTTGAGGGGAGATGACAGTGTCCGTTAGAAATGCGTTCTCTGTTTTTTTTTGCAGGGACTGGCGGTGGCTGTGAAGACGCTTTGGGTTGCATTTTTGCTTCACTCATGTCCTTCTGATCAGTTTCCACATTTTCTTTGGAGATAGAAGTATTAGCTCTTCCAAGATCATGGGTGCTTTTTTTACAACTTTCAAAAGGAGTCCAGGTCATACCATATGACAGGGAAGATGTCCGAGCATCACAGTTCTCGGGCAAATGCTGAGGGAACATTCTTGTCGAAGGCATGGTTGCTGACAAGTGGAATTCCTTTCTCTTCCCCTTAAGGGGATCAACAACTTCTTTGCTTTGCTTAGCCATCAACAGTTTTATCATCTGCCCACCACCTTCAGACTCAGCTGATTTTTTTGATGAATCCACAGGTGATGTCTCCGCTGATTTTATACTACCAGTGCCAACATTTCCATGAAGGTCTCCGAGAGAATGGGATCTTGGCCACATCAGTATATTTGGGGCTCTTTCTAAAACTTCCCAGCTTCGGCACACACCAACTGGCAAACTTCTGCCTTTCTTCTTGAGATCCATAGCTGCTGGCAGCTTGAGACGGTTTTTGGAGACTGGATGCACACAGCTGACCTGGATTTTCTTTTCTTGCTGATAAGCTTCCGTTGATTTAATTAAGGGTAGATTTGGAAAATTCGCCAGTGGGTTTCGGTGGAAATCCTTAAAATGATATCCACTGGCTAATTTTGAGGGCAGGAGACAAGGCTGTCGTATTTTAGCTGAAACAAAAGGAGATAAAGTTTAGAAAAGAAACAGATATTTGAAAGAAATCAGCATCTGCTTCCTCCTTGCATCCTGGGATACCTTTATTATTTATCTTTTATATGTATGTATGTATGTATGTATGTATGTATGTATGTATATGTAGAGAAACACAATTCTGAGGTATATGTGACCTGTACAGATGAAGTTTGTCTTACGTTTTATGTTTTAAATAACAATTAGAACAACCTTGTATGAAAAGGGGCAGTTTAATCCTTTCTTTCCCCAGTTCATTTGACATAGTGATTTTCTCAGGAGAGAATTTTTGATTCCTCAGCTGGAAGTTCCTTAGAGTTAGAGATCTGGAGGCACAGGCAAGTGAAACAAGACTCCTGCACTTGATACAGCTTCTGCTCAACCATTCTAAAGCTACATGAACAGATGCAATAAATGTATTTATCTGGACTGTAGAAAAGGAGGAAATGGCAAAAATAGCCCAAAACACACAACTGAAATGTCCTTTGTAATCTTAAATGGTAAGCCCTATTAACACTTTCTATGTATTATCTTTCTATGTATTATCTATATATCAGAAAATAAAATACAGGCTGAATAGTCAAGACCTTGTTGATGATCCAAACTCTGTGAAGGACCTTGGAGTACTCATCTCTAATGATCTAAGTGCTAGAGCCCACTGTAACTACATAGCCAAAAAGGCATTAAGAGTTATTAACCTAACCTTACATAGCTTTTTCTCTGGTAATATTACACTAATAACTAGAGCATACAAAACATTTGCTAGACCAATACTTGAATACAGCTCATCAGTCTGGAACCCACATTACGTACCTGATATTAGCACAGTTGAGAAAGTCCAGGAATATTTCACAAGAGTTCTCCGCTCCTACTTCTTGCAGAATACCTTATGCCACCAGACTTGAAATTCTAGACCTAGAAAACCTAGAACTACGCCGCTTTCGGTCTGATCTAAGTATAGTATATAAAATTATATATTGCAGTGTCCTACCTGTCCATGGATACTTCAGTTTCAACCATAACAATACAAGAGCACACAATAGTTACAAACTCAAGGTTAATTGACCAAACTTGATTGCAGGAAATACGACTTCAGCAACAGAGTGGTCAATGTCTGGAATACTCTACCTGACTCTGTGGTTTCTTCCCCAAACTCCCCAAACTTTAACCTTAGACTGTCTACTACTGACCTCACCCCTTTCCTAAGAGGCCTGTAGGGGGCATGCATAAGCACACCAACGTGTCTACCATCCCTGTCCTATTGTTTCTTTTTTATTTTTCTTATATGTATCCATTTCATGTATTCATAACTATGTTTATACTTATACCTGTTAACTTATAATCGTGTGACAAAAAAATAAAAAAAATAAAAATAAATAAATAAATATCCTGATTCAAACAGATCCCTGGCAAATATTATGCATCAACATGCATTTTAGGTAAACCTAGAATATTTGCATCTTCTATATCCACTTCTTGTGCTGAAGCCTGTTCTTCAGAAAGGGATGCATTCCGTTTACAAAGGCTGGAAGAAGCTGTGATCACTGGGATAGTGCACAGCAGGTGCTTCTTACTTTGCAGGCTGTCAGTGCTTTATTCCACTTGACATGCTGCAGTTTACATAAAAGGCTCCAGTAGAAGCTCAGCAACACAACCCTTTGAGCCAAGAAGGACGCCACGTGCATACCAAGTAAAGAAACCATTTGCTAGAAAACAGCCTCTTTTCCCCCCCACCCTCCACCCAAGGCTCCAAATAATTTCCTCTATCTATTGTAAGCAAATGAGTTAAATCTTGATCCGAAGCACTTCCTCATTATGCTTTGGTACTAGTGGAGCAACTTCATTCAACACAGCTTGCCTGCAGGGAAGAGGTGGAGTCCTTTATACTCCATGAATATTAAAAAAAAAAGCAACTATCAAAAACAAAGCTGCAAACATGAGTGCTCTATAGACACTGCAGGAAAACTGTCTCTTCAGAGAACCTTGGAAAAGTGCACAAGACCCGGCATTAGTGTGTCTCCACTAATTAGGTCTGCAACAATTGTTTTGTTAGACAATGAAAGCAGTGCCCAAGTCACCACTAAAAGAAATTCTATAGTGCTGTTCCTGGAAAAAGAATCTGGTGTTCTTTGAGAAGTTAATGAATTAGGCATGTAATTCAAATGAGCACAGCTGGGATTACCGTTTTCCAGGTTTTCACTGCTTTCGTAGCAGCCTGAATCCCGGGGAGAACATCCACTAAGGTCTTGGCCATCTACAAGGAGCTTCTCCTGAGAGCCCGACTGGTCACTGTTACCTTGAGTAAAGAACAGTAATGGCAAAGCTAAGAAAGTGGCATTTACATTAATTGAAAACAATCTCTTTTATATCAAGCAACCTATAAAACAACTTGCTTAAAAAATGCTTGGGAAGCCAGTGAGAAAGAAGGGAGAAGACTTAAGAAATGTTGGCTGTTATCTTTAAGGAGTTTGGTGTAGTATAGCCACTGCTGGGCATGTTTGGAAATTTAACCTTCAAGGTCTTCAAAAAAAAATCTTCAGATAATTCCTCAGTCTTTCCGCCCTGAAGCAAAGCATTTAGGAGGCTGGAGAAATAATCATCCCTCTCTGTGCTTCCTATGGACAAAGTGCTTCTGTTCATGCTACTGCTACATAACTATATCAATGCAAATTAAATAGAAAAACTAAGGACAGCATATTTTCAGGTGCTAATGGGGACAAATGGGAATTCTTTTCCAGCAGAGAATATATTTAGGTCAGAGAAGTATCTCTGTGGGCTTCTTCTTGGGCGATATTTACAAGCCCTGCCTTGGCAGGTTCTCTAGTTATGAGCCACCTTATATTTTATGGAAATTTCCCAATGCACGGTGACATTTATTTCTTGTAAACCATTTACGATTATTCTACATTCTCTCTAGGTCCCTGCAAGCCATGATTTTCAAGACCTTTGAGGTTCACAGAATCTCCAAAGTCCCAAGTAGGTAACAGATCCTTAGCTGTGCACTGGAAAAGAAGATCTATCTCACTGTCATATTCCTGCAGAAGCTCCACTGCTGTCAAGAGAACAGCTCGGTGCTCTGGATCTCGAATGTTGAGTTCATCCAAATCTTCCTCCTCCAGGAGCTTGAAGGTGTCTAAGTCTTCATAGCCATTGAACAGAAAGGTTGGCATGTGCTCCTGTGTCAAAGAGAGATGCTACTTTCAATGCTGTATATTTCACAAGAGTTAAATTTTGTTTGTTTCTAATTGATGAATGCTGACTGCTATATTATAACTGATTTGTAAGTATAAAAGGAACATTTTGAGTCATCCCATTTTAGATGCTTTAAAAACAATATGCAGTAGTATAGATAATAGTCTTTCCTTAGTTCTCTCTCTCAACCAGAACAGAGTTCCTCTTCCTTTTGACTGCAGTGGATTTTATATTCTGTATTCCCTATAAAAATTCCTCTGCAACACAGCTGTCACACACTTCAGTGCCAATGTGAAATTTTCCTCACTGATGTGCCACGTTGGCAGGTAGTTCATCAGATGAAACAATACACATGGGGTGAAGTGACTAAGAAGTTAATCCGTTAACTCCTTGAGTTCTTCATTCAAGATATAAAAAAACTTCCCATCAATAATGTGCTATACTGATGACACTATGATAGCTGAAAATGCAAATATAATCTAGTAGTGAAAATCAAAGAGAAGAGTGAGAAAATGGAACTAAGATTAACAATAAAGACGAAGCTAATGGCAACTGGTACAGCAACTAACCTAAGAACTGACAATAAAAATATTGAAGTCGCGGATAGTTTTTAAGACCAACTAACAACAGTTGAAAGACCAGCAGTCAAGAAAGATCTCAGATTAGATTTCATAGAGTAGCAATGAAGGCCTTGAGGAAAAAAAATCAGATGCTGGGATGTGTCTATTCCTACAAAGACCAGAATAGTGCAAACAAACTGACATTTTCTTCAAAACAAACAGGATGGACATCTTTTAACTTTGATATTGGAAAAGAAACCTTAGAAAACCAGTGATAGCTAAGGAAACAAGCCAATGGATCATTGAATAAATCTGACCCTGAGATTCAGATTATCATATTTCAGATGTATTAGGCAAACATCTGGTTCTCAGAAAAATTTAGGAAAGGTGGTAGGAAAGAAGAAGAGGACATCCAGCAGTAGGATAAATGGACTCAGTTACAGTGGTAATGTGTACACTATTGGAAGACCTGAAGGACCAAGATGGAGATGAATTCTTGTTGTGAAAATCTATCTACAGATAGTTCTCAACGTAGAACCTGCAATTACACTCATAATTCGTGAATGTTAATAAGCAGGTCACCATGTAACTGCACCTGATTTTACTATTTTTTTGTGGTCATAAAGTGAATGCCGCAGTCATACAGGGAATGCTGTTAAGTGAACCCCCCCCCTTTTTTTTTGCTAGAAATCAGAAATAAGTGCAGCTTTCAGGCAAAAACATAGTAAATCATGGTCATGTAACCACAGGATGTTGCCATAAATGGGGGCCTGTTACTGAGCACTCAAAATGTGTTTACATGACCTGGGCACATATTATCACTGGGCACATATTATCACATGTGATGGATGTGTCCAAAAGCAAAACAAATTTGGACAAAAGTGCATACATGGTTAGAAAAAATGTTAAGGCATATAGTTTATAAGCCAGAACTATTTTTATTAGGCATAATACCAGAAAAATATGATAGAGGGAATGTAGATTTAATATTACACTGTTTTGACAGCAGCCAGATTGTATTCGCACCATACTGGAAAAACAAGGAAACACCTACAGAAGATGATATAACTGTGCAGAAATGGATAGACTAATACTGAAAGAAGACACAAATATTTTTGAACTTGGAATTTGTTTTATCAATGGTTGGATAATAGAGGTAGACGCTAGGAACTGAAAAAGTATTATTATGTAAGAAGCAAATTGACCCAGACAGGACGTTGTTCACTAAGCACTTATTGTATGTAAAGAGAAAATATATAAATAAATTGGGGATGGTGGCCATTGGAACTTTGAATCTGGGTCATGAGTAGCTTTTCCAGAGTCTGTCATAACTTTAAATGGTTGCCAAGAGACTGTTCATAGGCTGAGGACTAGCTGTATATGATTGCTAACAGTGGACATCAACTTGATTGTACAGTCTATTACATTAACTCTTCCTTCATTGGAAGCAGACATCATCACACATGCCTTAGTTACATGCAAAGATTGTAGGCAGAGATGGCTGCAGCTAATCTTGAAAACCAATTTTCAATTAAAAATCAATGGAAGCTTGAAAGCCTATCCAGTCAGGTCAAAAACAATTGCAACATATATTTTATTTAAACATCATGTATAATATGCTCCTATTTATTTGAAATATTAAAAATCTTTTCCTTTCCTCCTCCTTTTAACTTTTGACTGAATAAAATCTATAAGACGAAACAAAGAGACATTTGTTCCATACGAAGAGTAGTCTATCTTTTCTGAAGAATTACCTTTCAAGGATGGTAATGAGGAGAAGAAAAAATGATGGTAGCCTGGGCATGTTCCATCTGAGTGTGTTTTAGTTAGGGCAAGATTGCTGAGATACCTCTAGAGTGAGATAGTTGCACATATTATAGCTCAGAATGGGGACTATGGATTTATTTTAGACAGCTGCTGTAATAAAAAACATCTTTCTTGCCAGAAGCCCAGCTGTTAGCAATTGCTCTCTTCTATTCAAGTAGCTTTACTGGCAATAAAAAAAATGTAAGAGGGCTTTGGGGAGACAGGTAACAGCTTCTCAAAAAGTTTGTTCTTCCTTCACTGCTCCACAGTTGGATTATTGTCTCACTGATGTTGGAATTCTCTTTTCAAAAGGCCTACCATCTCTCTTTCCTTAGACATTTGATCCTTGCAGCCTTCTCAATAGCTATAATATTTTAATATCTCCTGAACTCTTCTTGCTTTCACTCTCCTGTAAATCTTTGTTTTGTTTAATGATTTGTCTTTCTTTCTTTACAGTCAAAATTTTAGCTGTGATTACATTTTAATGATGTTTGGAGGAGCCACACTTAATTTATAAGAAAAAGTCTGAGACTGAGTCCATCTATCCATCCTTGCTGAACAGATGGAATTATTCATCGAATAGCTTAATTTATTCCTGGCTCTTTCAGAGTCTTAATGTCAAACGGAATTTAAACAAAACCAAAGCAAAGCAGGTACAATAAATCTTTCTAGAAAAGTAAATTAAACACTATGCATCGATAACTGATTCTGTAAATAAAACTGTGACAAATAGCTTATCAAGCAATTTAGGAGAGAAAATAAATGGAATTATTGACAATATAAAATAACAAGTATACTATATACTAAGAAAACACAATATGTGATCACAGAACATCTGTAGAGATTTATCCACAGGCAATATTATCCACTTAAATTGGGCACATTATTCCTGCTGTGGAATTGAGACTCCAAACATCTAAAATCAGCTTGCTTTTAAAAAGTTACTTCACTTTAATAGCAGAGTAGGAAAAGGATAAAAAGAAATAAGGTTTGTCAACTCCATCTGATAATAAGCATGAAGCAAAACAAATTAAAAAGTGTTGATTAAATAAAATCTAAGAGTTGAATCCAGGCTTAATTTTCTGGAATCAATAATTTCAGTGTTAGGTCATGAGGAAGACTGAGAAGGAAAAAGAAGAATACTGGAAATGGATCGCCAGCTATTCAAATAATTTCTAGGGCTATGATTGCATTATCTAGAGAATTATCTAGTGTTAGGTCATGAGGAAGACTGAGAAGGAAAAAGAAGAATACTGGAAATGGATCGCCAGCTATTCAAATAATTTCTAGGGCTATGATTGCATTATCTAGAGAATCAACTGCTGGCATGAAATGGACCTCATAAGGTTTGGTAAAAAAAGGATTGGAATTTGACTGAAGCACATTGAGCTTATTGGGGAGAGCTTTAAGCTGAATTCATTGCGAGTTGACAAGTAAAATCTTAAGTAAAGTTTCAGAACAAGCTCTGCACTCTGAAAAGCAAGAGGAATACTTTTTCATCTGGGTGATTACAACACTATAAATTAATGATTAGACTATAGGAATTAAAGAAGATGAGCTTGAACCTTTGGTACAGGAAGGCAAATCTGATTTAATAGGTATAATGTAGACTTGGTTGGTTGACTTCCATGACAGGTATACAACAATACAATTTGTTCAAAAGGAACAAAAGCAACAGAAGAGTAAAAAATGGAAATTGACCTTTAAATTGATACGATCAAGGAGATCCTCAACAGATTTGGGCTGCTGTAATCTTCCTTTTCGGCGCCTTCTTGTGGGCCTTTTAGGTTTTTCTTCTTCTTCATTTAACACATCCACATAGATGAATTTGAAAGTACCAACTTTATTGTTCAGAAGTCCCATCCAAGTACCCATGGGAGGCTTGCTAATTATATCAATAATATCACCCTTCTGTAGTTGAGAAAAGAAATAATGCATCTGAAAGATCTACTAAATCAAACTAGATAGCTGTTCTGTATACAACCTCTTGTGGAACCCTTTGTATTTTTTTTAAATAATAAACTCAGCAAAGTCTATTTACATAGACTTCACAATCCACTTCTTAATTCTGCAGTATTTTAACTGAATGTAAAACATACTTCTCCGTTTGTTTTGTTCTTTTTAAAAAAAAACATCTTTGGTGTGGGTCTTCATGGCTAAGTATTTAGGTGGGAGCAATTTATATATATATATATATATTTTTTGTCAAAGGTATAAATGGAACTTAATTCACTATTGGCTCAAGTTTTGACCCACACTTGTGTTCCTGCTGTTTACAGGACCTTTTCTATAAAAAATAAATACTTGGGTTGACTTTTCCAACCTGAATGAAGAGTCATATAATCAATTATCCAGAAAAAAATGGGGGAGAGAGAATATGAATGTATGAGAACAGGTATTTGAGGGACTGCCTTGGATATGTTCAAGGGCCCATCAGTCAGGGATTGCATCTAATGGGATCCAGCATGTGTGACTTTTCCATAGCTGCACCTACTCTGGCACATCATACCATCCAAGCCTTGGTTAAACCTGACACTATTCACCTTTAAGAAAGCATTGAAGACTTGGCTATTTTCCTGAACATGGGGAGGGGTGCCAAGAGAGTAATTGAACCTACAATGTTGGTGTTTGCTAGCTTTGGTGGCCACCTTGTGTTGTAGTTGCTCTAGATGTGCATTTTTATATTGTATTTATATTGTATTTTAAATTTTCATTAGCCACCCAGAGTTATTAGTGAGAGGGGCAGCCATATAAAACCATTTGAAGAAATAAATAAATGCATACACACATGTTACATTACAACAAAGTAGCTCCATAGCTATTTTAAAGTCAGAGAATCACTTTAAAGGTATTAATCAATATCTGTAAAAATGATAGCCTTTGTAAAAAGGAAAGCATTTAGAATCTAATAAAAATGAGAAAACTAGTGTATCAAGGAGGTTTGGATAGCTAGCCCTTTCTACCAGATCTCAAGTCCAACTATGTAACATTTAGGAAACCTTTAGTAACTTTGTAAGCAATATCCCTTAATTCAAATTCGTTGGTTAGTTCATGAAAAGTACCTTGAGTTTAAGAGAATCTGTATCATAAGGACTGGGGGTAAAGTCAGTGTGAACCCGGGCACGACCGCAGAAAGGCCCTCGGTATGCAAGTTCTTCCTCATCACCATCTTCAGACTTGACACTTTCTCTATTGCTAGTCGAAGAGTCAGTTGTGCTTACCGTCTGCCCACCTATTTGTGCAGGGAAACAAGGCAAAAGCAAAGGAATTGCAAAAGACAACAAGCAGATCCCAACATGTGCAAACCGTAAGATGTCAGGAACATTCCTCTGACACTAGTCGAACATCACCATTCTAGGTGTGATTAGAACAGCAAATACAATAGATCCCATAGACCTCTTGCTTCTTTAATGGCATGCTTACCATCTAATCTGATTAGCTCCCCAGAGATTTATTTATTTATTTAAATTCATTTATTTATCAAATTTCTACACCACCTATCTCACACCTAAGTGACTGTGGGTGGTTTACAAATCTATGTGGTGTGGCTGATCTTGCCTTAGCACAACTCCTGCTTCTCCCCAAATCTTAAATGCAGACCCTAGTCTTCAATTGAACCCAGAGGTGTATTCAACAGGTTCTAACCAGTTCTGGAGAACCCGTAGTGGAAATTTTGAGTAGTTCGGACAACCGGCAAATACCACCTCTGACTGGAGATTTTACAGTAACCTTCCCCTGCCATGCCCACCAAGCCACGCCCACAGAACCGGTAGTAAAAAAATTTGAATCCCACCACTGATTGAACCCTAAATGAATCCTAAATGAAGAGCCACAAAAACAGATTAAAAACCCCCTTCTGATAATAATCCCTACAATCTATGATTGACTCAAGATTCAGATTTGAAGGTTCAGATTCAGCTTGTAAAAAAAGATCTTTTCTCACTACTTAAGACGATTAAGAGAGTGTCAATTTGGTGCAGTGGTTAAGGCATCAGCTAGAATATGGGAGACAGTGAGTTCTAATCCCACTTTAAACAGAAAGCCGGCCCCTTTCTCTCAGCCCTAGGAAGGAGGCAATGGCAAACCACTTCCAAAAAACCTTGAAATAATAACCCCCACAATAGATGCAGGTAAGCAAGGGGCAAAGAAGAATGGATGAAGGTAGATAACATGAACAAAGTATTAGCATCTGGTCTACGCCATGTTTCCTTAGGTTGAGATTTTTTACATCTAAACTGAGCTGACGTTATATTCATTACTTACTCATTGAACTTTGGCCACTGAGGGAACTCCGCAAACTTTCTACTGAACCACCAGCTTTTAACTTTGGTTTATCCAAAGTATCGGTATCTGGCTGTGGTGCCTGAAGAGACTCTGGCCTTACATCCAGATTGGGTTCCTGAAAGACAAAAACCTCACCATTGATATTAAATTTCTCATGTACTCAAATAGGGAACTATTGGTTTGTGTGGTTTAAAATTCCGCAGTACCATAGAAGAATTCATTGCTATGGATCTGACGTCAACTACGATACAGAAAGCAGCAATTATCTATCGTTTCCCTTTTTTTACCCCTTGTAAGCTAAAAAGAAACAGTAAATGACCAGAAAGCAGTATTCCCGAACCATGAGAAGATCAGGATAAGGGTCACACAGAAAATGGTGTCCAAAGAGAACCTAAAAACCCAGGTATTTTTCTATAAGTGAAGGAAACCTCTTCCTCATTTGCATACAGGTTTTGCATATCTATACAAAGTTATCTTGTGATAAGTGAATCTAACGGGTCATTGTATTCAGCACATTTGAACAATTCATAATTGTGTTCTATTTTACACTTGAGATTCCCATATTTCTAATGTGTGTTGTCTAATCTATTGTTTTAAAATAGAGAGAGAGATCTAGGATTTAATCTAGATTTTTCTTTCAAGTCTGAAGGGTTTGCTAGTCCAAGACTATTTTCAATTCCTTTTGGAAAATATTTCATTTCATGTATTTTATATCAATTCTATCAATTTTTAACTTATTCCTAATCAAACCATGCCATTAATTAAACTCATCTGAATCTAGTATCCATTTCTTTTGTTATGCAGTTGCAGTATGTTTTCTACAATTGTCCTGCCTTATAAACCCTGGAATCAGGTATTTCATGTAATATTTGCTAACAGTGGTTAATACAATGTTAATGGAATGGTTGATGAAGTAACGAAAGTATTATTATTTGGAGTAAATAACCAAAAGTGTTATTGTGATGGAATGAATGAATCTACTAGTCTAGAACTGCAATTTGGTTTTGAAAATGGTAAACCAATCAACAATCCTTTACCTGAAAAATAATGTGCATTTTCATCTTCATTTATTCATTTAGATATCAAAACAGATCCAAAAGGATGCGAACAGTAATTTCTGAACCAATCTGCACTTAGAAGACTTCTCAGTGTGTGGATATGGGGGCGCGTGTGCATTTTAAAAAGCACTTCTTTGACAGAAAGTGTTAAAAATAATGTTGTAGACTCTTCTAGAATACCCGCCACAAAGAATTGAAGAAACCTGCTGATATCAAAAATTGCTGGCTATTCCACTGACGTGCAATCACAAACCATCTGATGAAGCCTATTATTTGTGTATTGCAGAGTCATCAGGAAATATCTTCCCACAAATCAAGTAACTCTCCAGGGAAAACCAAAGCCACAAACCTTTAGTTAGAAAGCGACTTCTGTTTTTCCTGAGGTCTATTTTTCTTATATTTTAGATAATTTAGCTGCCATTAATTTGACAGATCTATCTGTACATTCTTACTAGAGAAGTTTTGGTCATTGGAACCCTACAGAAGTCAAATCGTTGGACTGAGCCATAAAACCAGTATTGTTTAATATTGCTTCTTTCCCAATTCTGAAATTATAAGATCATCTACAAAGCCAAGCTCTGGGGAGGAACAGGGAATTTGTTGTTTTCTATGTATATTTTAGGCCAGTAATGGCTAACCTTTTTGCTGTTGCATGCTGAAAGTCATGTGCCTGCACTGATAACGCAATGCACGCGCTGCCCCCATGCTCCCCACGCCCCCCCCGTGCATGCGAACGCATCTCCCGCATGTGCGGCAGATACCTGAAAACCAGCTGGCTGGCAAGAGGCACGCATGCAGTGGAACTGAGCTGGGGCAATGTCTTGCATGCCCACAGAGATGGCTCTGCGTGCCACTTCCGGCATGCGTGCTATAGGTTCGCCATCACAGTTATAGGCTATATCAATATATGCATGAATTTCTCTTTTGATAGAATTTCTCCTTCCTATGGCTACTCATGATCTCTGCACGCCCCTGTGAAAGTTGCTTCTGGAGGCCAACTTTCTGCAGATTTGGGAGGCTTGGAAAGGAGCAGATTAAAAACCCATGTTGCCAGCCAAATAACACTCTAGAAACATTGTCATTTTTCTTACTGTATAGTCTTGAGAGGAGTTTTTAAATGTAACAAACATCCCCATCTCAAACTATCTGTCTGACAATTTACCATTATGAACAGTTGGTATGATAGTCCTGGAGCAGATCATTCTTCCTAATTGCAACACTTTGGGCTATGTTCTTACGCTTAAAAATAAAACCAACATAACATTTTAAAGCATTCCATTTTTCAGACTAGCTTTTGATATAGAACAAGGTCATCTATTTTGGTATGTGCACACAGCTAAATGCATTTTTATAATAGGTTCTGCTTTCTAAAAGATGCAGAGAATTGTTTACTTTCTCTGAAAGGCTGAGGTTCAGAAATTTTAAAAAATGGATAACATAAATACGCTGTTAGAAATCACACTCCATTCTGATTATTATAAAGCTGTATACAGGTCCTCAACTTACAAGTTCATTTAGTGACTGCTCATTTAGTGACTGTTCAAAGTTACAACATCATCATGAAAAAAGTGATTTTTGGCTCTCTTTCAAACTGATGACTGTTGCAGCATTCCCATGGTCATGTGATCAAAATTCAGATGCTTGGCAACTGGGTGTATTCATGATGGTTGCACTGTCCTTGAGTTATGTGATCAACTTGTGTGATCTGACAAGCAAAGTCAATGGGGAAGACAGATTCGTTTAACAATTGTGTTACTAACTGTGGCAAAGGTAATAAAATGAGGCAAAACTCACTTAACAACTGTCTTGCCTAGCAACAGAAATTTTGGGGTCAATTGTGGTCCTAAGTCAAGTACTACCTGCATAATACTTGGGATTGTCACATTTGCTTTTCTTTGACTAAAATTAACAACATGGGCAGGAATCAGGCTCTTCTATCACAGAAGAAATATTTATTTGCAAATATTTCAGTATATCGGGACAGCAGCCAACGTCAGAATCCAGCCAGGCCATTTGTGCTTCCACAGCCCACATGACAACAAATGGGTTTGTTTTCTGCTGGAGATCTGATATACCTGTGATGGTCTGCTGTAAACAAAGGACTTCAGGTTGGATATGAGGACTGCCTTGTTTCTGCATAGAGTCACAAACTATTGATTTGTTTGTTTGCAACTAACAGATCCAAATTCCCAGGGAAAGGCTATTGTACCTCCACGGAGCCTTTCTGCCTTGAAATCTGTCCCATGTAATTACAGATAAGAGCGAGGGACTGAATTTAGCTTGGCAATATAAAGGTATCTCAGAGAAAACATGTTTAAGAGTGCTTTGGCTATCAAAGATCAGCATTCTCCTACTCCTGAATGCAGAATACAATGACCAACTATAGCAACTGGATTACTTGATAGACCTCTAGAGGGCGATATTTCGTCAATATTAATCAGATGTTTCCCCAGCTGAAGCCAATGACTTGTTATGTTTATACTGAAGTTGAAGTGGAAAGACTGATGAAAAAAATAACAATAAAAAGTGTTGGCTGTTTTGACAGCCTCCCAAATTAAATTGAATGAAATTTGCCAAAAGCAACAAGCTTGGAAAAATGAATTGATTTCAGCCAGGGAAAATTGAAAGAGGAGTTTTAAAACACTCAGCGATCATCATAGATCTCGGTAATAAGAGAATTAAGTGTATTGTAAAGGAAAAATGTGGGTTTTTTTCATTCAGCGCACTATGTTCATCAAATAAATTGCTGACTTATTTTTTTGACCCGCTGTATAGGCTATTCAGATAACCTCATGGTAAAGCCTTCATATTGCACAGATGTCAAAGCTGCAGGATTCTGCAGCTCCAGTGAGCCCTTATGTTCCTCAGCCATACTTCTTGGCATTGGTAAGTTCTTTGCCCCATGTAATCCATGTTTATATCTTTTATTAGGGGGAAAAATCAATGGGAACTAACATGCTATAGAGGAAAGCACAAACTGAAGTTAGATCTCCAAAGGATTTATAAAATAACGTGCAGTCCAATGCTGGGTTTGGCTTCTGTTAAATAGGTGCTTTGAGACTGACCAGAATCCTCTTAGGAACCATTTGGGGAAAATGCCCCTCCTTCCCCTTCTTTGACGCATCTAAGCGTTCCCACTAGCTCAAAAAGGTTAGAAACCCTTGATTTGGATGTTGCTTGCGTTTTAACAATGTTGGATACTTGCTCAGGGTATATACTGTATAAACTCAGTCATTCTTTATAACATGGGAACTACCACCACATATCCAATGAAATCGTAAATTTTACTGGCTTAATTCAATCTTACCTTGCTTTTATGATTTTATTGAGGCTCTTTTCACAGTAACTAGTTCTGAAAGACCTTGGAATTGGTTTAGTACATGATACCCCTGGGGAGCTTCTCAAGTAAATGCTGTTGTACCTTTTCATGAGGTCTCAAAAGAGGCTTGAGAAGTGATTTCATTTCAAGCAAACAAGAACAAACAAACTGGCATACCTGCTCTGACAAGTTGCTGCTGCTGTATTTTTTAGACATTCTTTTCTTCATGGTTTCTTTTACAGATTTCACCTTCTTACCAAGGGATATGCGGGAAGTCGAAGGGGATTTGATCACCTCTTTGTAGACAAAATCACCATCCTTTCCCTGTCAAAAGAAAGGGAAGTTGAAACAAAGAGCAGCTTCTCATCTTTTATCCTTCTGTGGCCATCTTCAGACTCAGCGTACCTCACAAAGATTGTTCAAATCGCAAATTCTCCAAACATGTTATTTATTTACTTACTTATTAAACAATAGTTATATAACTGCCCAGCTCACAGATAGGTCACTCCAGGTGGCTTACAACATTTAAAAAAACCCACCACATAATAAACACCCATAAAAAAGCACCTCCCACAGAGACAACCCCCCCCCCCCATCTCCATGGCAGCAACAATACAATCAAATCAGTCACTTGAGCACCTCCAACTTCCATTTGTGGTCCTAGGTCTGCTGACAAAATCACATTTTTAGGGACTTTCAGAACAGGAACAGGGTGGGAGCCAACTGGAGCTCACGGGGAATGATGTTCCATAAAGAAGGGACTATCACCAAGAAGGCCCTTCTTCGTGGTCCCATCGGATGGACATTTCTAATCGATGGAACTCATAACATGCTCTGCCTTCCCATCCTGGTGGGCTGAGTGGATGCAATAGGAGAGGGTTATATATTATTCTTCTAACCAGACCACTTTTTCCTGGGAATCTGTGCTTCCCCTTTGACAATATTTGCAATGTTTTCCTTGAAATTCTCAGGGGGATAAATAATGGAAGAGAGGGCAGTTAGTTATTACATGTTGACTACCCTATGATGCTTGTCTTCCAATTCTTAAGCCATCACTTAAAAGTGACTTAAAATGTCATTGTGAGTCATTTTTCATTACCATGTAGCATAACAATCCTGATGGGCATTGAGCCAGAATAACCCATTACATACAAAGTGGGACAAATGTTACCACACAGCCAATATATTCAACTTAGCAACTTATATTGATTTTAATGCTATACTCATAGGCAGAATGCTAAACAACATAATTCCTGCATGCATGCATTTTCATTTAATAACACAAGTGCCATAATCCAAATGTTTTCCATTAGGTATGTCTCTGCCAACTCCTGAAGAGAAACATTACAGTTCTACCCCACTCATAATCTTCTTGTATGAAACTCATTTATACCAGTATTGCCCAATATATATTGTTCTTCAGCTAACTTTCTTTTTTCTTGTCCTTTTTAAATATTTTGGAAGTTATGAAAAGCTATTTGAAATGCAGCTCACATCCTGTATATCTGGATACTTGCACATTAAGATCAATTTTCAGAATACTTTTGGTTTTTGACTGAGATGAATGCTTGTTTATAAGGTTATTTTGTTCTGCCTGCCTAAATTCTATATAGATTTAAGTAAACATTGCTAACCTCACACATATTCATCTGAAGGCCATGTTAATCTAGTCAATGATGCTCAAGTGCAACATCAAAGGCAGCCAGGGGAAATATACTATTGGCCTTGGGATAAGATAATCTCTCTTTCTGAGTTACTTTGTGATTACATCCCCACCAAGTCAAGTTATGTGTTCTGAATAGAGAAAAAGAACTTCTAGTTAAGATTACATGACCTTTAAAAGCAACAAGTGAAAAGAAGAATGCTCAAGAAAGTTGGGAACAATTAGGATGAAAGACAACCAGAAATATTTTAGATTAATGATTAAAGCAGTTGCAAACTGCACCAGACTAATTGGTACAATTGGACCAAGATCCAGTCCCATATTGTCAGAAGTCAGATGCCTTTGGAAGTTTACATGGCTTGAAAATGGAAAGGCCTATTGCCCTGAAATATATTTTTGGTGAATTTGCCATTCATATCACTGGCCTTATTGATAGGGATTTCCAGAAAAAATGATGAGCTGTCTGAAGAAATGCTTCACTTGGCACTTCTAGAACCCAATGCAGAACAGTTTCATGAAATGACTTTACGTTCCAGGATGGATGGAAAAAGAAAGACTCCTAACTAGAGAGATGAAAGTTAAAAACATGGATCAACAGAAGGCTTTTGTTTTGTTTAAGTAGTGGACAGGGGAGCTCCAAATTCTGGCAAGACCCCGCTTAACTGATAAGTCTTTCTTCGTATGCGTGTGTTCTAGCCATCCATCCTCCTGCAGCTGTGCCTCATCCCCATCCTCCAGAGACTTTCCATCTGGCCAGGGATTCAGCCCAGATGTTTTCAGAGACATTTCCCTTTCCCATCTATACAGACATCACTCTGTGGCAATTCAGGAACTCGATGGTTTGGATTCACTTGGACAGGAGGAGGATGTGTTTTAGTAACGGAATCACAGATTAATTTCAATCCTCCCTTGCCTGCCCTACTAAATCCCCAAACACTCAACAAAACCACAAAATTGGCTCCCGGAGCAGGAAAAAAACCAATCTAGATACACAAAGGCAGGGGGAAAATAAATGAAAGGGACTTAGTCCCAAAAAAACAAGCAAAAGAACATCACAGTCATTCAAGCGAAAGACTTGCCTAGTCTAGGAATACTGTATTAACGTTTCAGAGAGAAATTATACATCAGTAACCATTTCTCAAAATATGATTCTGTGAACAACACAAAGCCACATGGATGAGTTGCCATTCAGCACAAAAGGCGGCAATACTTAGAGACAAGAGGATGAGATCAACTGCCCACCCTCCCTTTTTAATTCAAGGCACCCAGAGAATTCCTAAATCAGCTCAGCAAAGCACTGCTTCCCACAACTTTCTTTTTCTTGATCTACATTCTTCCTTGCACTCTTCCAGGTGAATTTGTTTGTCACATAACAGAGAGAACACACACAGACACACACACACAATATGAATAACATTCCTTTCTTTGTTCTTTCCTGCTCTTCCCATCTGTCTAAATCCTGTCCATTCTCCAATCCACAGTTCATTTGAATAAGCAATTCATTGGCAGAAAATCAAAAAGAAAGGTTTTTAGACATAACTTCCTCTTATGGCAGTCTACAAGAAATGCAAATAATGCTCTTGAAAGGCAAGTTTCTCGTTTGTTGGTTGAGCATTTATCATTTCTGCAACACAAATTAATGGCTATGAATTTTAAAAAGCTGCTTTGATTTTTATGTGTGAATTGCAATTGCTTTTGGATTGAAATTGATATACACTCAATAAAATGAAACTGGCAACAGCCAGGAAAAGTTTAATTTCTCTATTCTTGTTCATCACACAGGACCACTGATATGCGTAATCCTTCAGGGACTAAACATGATGAGCTTAGCTGCTTAGTCCCACTGCCAGTACTATCCCTACAGTCAGATTGGCAATCCTAAGGAAAAGGGCGATATATAAGACAATTCAGGGCAATAAAACACAACTCTACATTTTAAATTGGAACTACTTGAACAGAATTCTTGGCTCAGTCTTATATCTAATATCTAAACCAGAGGTCTCCAACCTTGGCCACTTTAAGCCTGGAGGACCAACTCCCAGAATTCCCCTGGGAGCTGGCTAGCTTTGCTTTGCTTTGCTGGCTGGGGAATTCTGGGAGTTGAAGTCCTCCAGGCTTAAAGTGGACAAGGTTAGAGACCCCTGATCTAAACAACTTGGAAACAACTCAATTCACCATTGAACATTTTCTCAATGTGATATCCTTCCCAAGGATATGTTAAATGAACCAGAGGTGGTATTCAGCAGGTTCTGACCAGTTCTGGAGAACTGGAAGTGGAAATTTTGAGTAGTTCGGAGAACCGGCAAAGACCACCTCTGAATGGAGATTTTACAGTGCCCTTCCCCTGCCATGCCCACCAAGCCACGCCCACAGAACCGGTAGTAAAAAATTTTGAATCCCACCACTGATAACATAAGCAGGACAAAAATTGTATCCAGGATGGAGCTATGTTCTTCATGTCCTCACATTTTCTTTATCTTTCATTCCTGCCTTTTCCAGCTTTGTTTGCAGCTGGAATGTGGGAAGAAGAACTATATATTTGCTGAGATATTGGAAGGTGACCTTCCCTCACATTTGAGCTACAGCCTACTATGTTCATTGAATCCAGGATTAACCTGAGAGCTGTCCAAGTGGATACAGATCCCCTTCAGAGTGATTAGTGAGAAAACAAGAGTAGAATAAATAGAATGTGAAAAGTGGACTTCTATGCATTAGACACTACACCTTTCCCAAGCTTTTCACTCCCGTTTAGTTTTAATCAGCTTATTTTGGTATACTTTATTCAGTGAATAGAATAACTTAATGGGGAGGAGGATTTTCACTCTTTGATTGGCCAATAAAACCATGGCAAATATGGTTGGAACAGTTGGCTTTTACTAGATATCTTATTTTCTTGTGGAATAAATACTACTGCTTTCTAATTGCCTAGGAATCACCCCATTTCACTTGTCCTCATGTTATAATTATCATATGCAGAAAATAATATCTAGCAAATGAGAACCTTCAAAAAAAGAAGATTTTTTCAGTGATCACAAGGCTGAATTAAAAAAAAATGACAAGCTTCCTCTGAATTAAATTTTTATCCTTTTGGAATTTCAAAGATTGAGTAATCTTCTGCTGCTTTCTAGTACAGTCCTTGTCACTTTCATAATTTTATGACATTCTGCTACACATCCTCCTTTTGAATATAAAAAAGGAGGATACGCATCCTCCTTTTGAATATAAAAAATTAAAAATCATAATTTAAAACATTAATATCCAACTTTTTGGTTTGCCTGGGCAGCACTGAGTGAAGATAAAAGGTCTTGGGCTATATATAAAATATAGTTAATGCATATAAATGCACGTAATAATGTTAAAAGTTTATGATCTTGTGGGGCTTCATTACCAGTTGTCCAGGACTGCATGCAGCCCACTGGCTGGACGTGCCCAATTTAAAAGATTTCAAAGTACAAAATATTCAGAATTACAGAGAGCATTGTCTGGTATTAGTGTTTGCAGAATAATAAGCATGTCATATTTGGAGATACACTTTTGGACATTCATTTTAGTGCTAATAATTTTCTCTAGTATCAACAAATTATTGATGTAGTCAGAGAGCATCATAACACCACAATTATTATGCCATGATGTGGCTTTATGTACAAAGATCAAATAGTGAAAATCATGGTATTTCCTCTGATAATCAATGAAAGTAAAACTTCAAGAAACAGACTAGAAAGAGTATTTTCACTGTTGAACTTTGAAGTTGGAGGAGATTCCACCAAGGACAACCAGTAAAACAAATAGATCATCAAATAAATCAACTCACTCAAGACACAAATGATCAAGTTTAAATCATCCTATTTCAGGTATATTAAGGAAAAACTATCATTCTGGAAAAAACTCTAATGCTGGGAAAGGGGGAAGGAAAAAAGATGACCAGCGGCAGGGTAGATGAATTCATTTACAATGGTGATGAGTGTATCATTGGAAGACTTGAATAAACCAGGTCAGGGGCAGATTTTCATGGAGAAAATCTGTGTGGTCCCTGTGAGTCAATTCCAACTTGATGGCAATCAATCATAAAGGTATTTGTCATTGTTGGAAAATGATGTTTTTTTGAAATGCAATTTAAAAGAACTGTATGAAGAAACAGCTCACTGTATTGTAATTGAAAACTGATGTTATCCTCATAGCTACTTTTATAGCAAATCCCACTGCATTTTAATTTTGAAACACCTCACAAAAACCACCATTGGGCTGTATGTATGAATGTATCTTATGACTGAATGTCATACTCACAATTTGATCTGAACTGTTTCCAATGTGCAGTGAGCGATTTGCCAAATCAAAGCCACCAAAGCTGCAGGTTCTCTGTGAAACAAGGCAAATTTATAATACTTTACCACAAAATCAGCATGGTGTCAATTGTTTTCTCGGATAGAGAAGACACTAGAGAAATGTCTCAATTGTACAAATAACAAAAGCAAGCATGAAAAAATGTTCTGGATTATGTTCATGCATCATGTTCCCTTCCTGGACTTTTACTAATTATTTTATTGCTTCATACTGGAATCAGGATCTTCAATAAAGGAGTTTTAAAACTATCTCCTAAGTGAGGAATAGTTTTACATAATCCCATGTTTTGGGAATCATTTGGGCACAGGATATTAACAACAACAACATGTTCCACTTTATTGTACTTGAAATAGACAAAAGCCTTGAAATTTTAAGCATCTGCCCAAATGGTTGATTCACTCAGTAATGACATCTTCAATCTCTGAACTGACAATTTCCACTTTCAGAGACTATAACCAAGGACTGTATGGAACAAAGCAGTTTTCATACTACTACAAGAGAGAATACAGATATATGCAGTGGCATAATTTTGCAGAAGTAATTAGAGAAGTAAGTTGTTCTCAAAGAAACATCTCAAGCAAGAAACACTGACACTGAATACAATAGTTCTGCTTGCCTAAACAGGTCAGCGTAATGACACTAATTTTCTTTTTAAAGCTGAAAAGCGCAGCCAAGTGAAAGCATATTTACTTGGTGCTTAATAATGATCCTCATATGTAAAGTGTTCATTATTGAAAAGATGGTAGCCCTTTGGAGCTCAATAGAACTGTCCAGTTCCCTTTCAGTTCTACAATACAGATGTTTGCCTTTTCCAGAAATAAATTGGCTATTTCTATGTTTTGAGCTATGCATTTATATCTTGTCCTTCAACCTTATTCCCTCTGTTTTTCTTCACCTTATAGAAAAACAACAGCAGCAGCAATCAGGACATGGTCATTATCCTTCATCATAACCTTTGTAAATAGTAAATGCTGTATATGTAATATCTCATTATTAAGTCTGCTACCAATTAAAACATTACTAAAAGCCCATTATAAGCTCTTCTAGACAACCTATATGAAGTATGTTTTTTATCCTCATGAAACAAGCCTTTGCTGTTGAACATATAATTGTATTACTTCCATGAAAACATCAATTTAACAAGAAAGTCAATAGCACAGGAATGCTATAACAATTTTAAAAAGTTATCTCAGAAAGTTTAATATCAAACAAGGATTACAAGGATTTGGGGGTCTTCATGTATTTGTGTATGCAGGCAGTGAGTATGTATGACAGCAGAATTCACATGGATGGTATATGGAATCATACACACATACAAAAAACTTCACAGTTCCAAGTTGCTTTTTGGCAATATGCTATATATGTTATATTTCAAGGAACTGTATTATTATGCTTGCTATTGGATATATAGTTCATTACTTTCAATTACTTCACAAAAACATGCTAAATAAAACTATAGATGAAGAGACTGTATATCCTTAAATGAAATGATCATGCACATACTTTAAAAGTTCTAGGCATGCCTTTGCCACTAAAATAAATTTAAATTCCCAAAACATATGTAAAAGCAACACATGTAATATCAGTCGTATTGACAAGGGATGCCGTAGCTCCTGAGGTTGCAGTAAACATGAATTATAATCTCAGAAGAAGACAGTGTAGAATAGTGCCTAAAATTCACAAGCAGGGTATAAAGTATCTGCTCTTCTTAAAAGAGGGCTTACTCCAAGTTTTCACATGAAAAAAAAAGAAGAGAAGAGATATAGCTTTTTTCTTCAATGATGCAATCTAACACCTCCTAGTTATTATTTTATTTTATTATTTATTTATTAGACCAATTTATATAGCCACCCTTCTCACAAGCAAGCAATTCTGGGCATGGTACAACAGAGCTAAAAGGAGTTAATAAATACATTAAAAAGTATGAAAACCCAAACTAAAACAAAGAATAATAGACAAAGGGATGTTAACAATAATGGAGTATCTCACTAGTTCATCCATTTCTGGGGATCTCAGCTCTGCTGCCATCACCAGATCTTGAGGGACCTCCAGAAATTCAACTGTGACAAGGGTAGCTGATAGTGGGGGAGCAATTTTAAGACCTGTGGACTTCAACTCCCAGAATTCCCCAGGCAGCCATGGTTGAACACACCTGGGTTATAGGCTGTAGGTATGTAGACTTTCTAGCCTATGTCATGTCATATAAGGATGTTTAATTCCTGCTACCAATATTGGCAATACAAAGTAAATAACAGTAACAGGATTACAATCAAATAATTTGCAGGACAAAATATTTTTAAGAGTATGTTATTGCTTCTTATATTCACCATCTGAAATATTCTCTACATACCATCTTCGTCAAAGAAATTATTTTAATAAAATATGTTACAAAGTAGGGAAGAATTCACTAACATACAAAGCATTGGAGAAAAATGATAAATTATCCTACTAAAAAAAATTAGCAGCTTTACAATGGCCTCTAGCCAACTGAAGCCATAGATTACAAGTTAGCAAAAATGAGATTTTTGTCTGTCAGAATCAATTTTTTCCCTCAAGTTTCTTGGAACGTTAGTCATGATTGCCTCAACCCGAGACCTGGTTCAAAAATATAATCCAGCTATGAACTTCCCAGATGGCTTTAGATCCCTGGCTCTCATCCTTACTTTTCTATATCTGTTCTGGGAATTAAATATTTTATTTTACAGAGCAATTATGCACTGCAATCCTAAGCACATTTGCCAGGGCAAAGGATCTGTACAGATCTTTGCCTGGTGAAAATTAAGAGTGGCAATCTTTTTTTTTTTAAATAACAACTGAGAACCATATTTTCTGAGAAGAAAGTTATCAATAGTCACACAATGTGATGATGGATGGATCCTCAGTCAAAAAAATGGGTAGGATTCCCCCTTTGGCCCTCTATCTCTTTCTTCTTTATGTGTATCTTTTTCATTTATGTATCAATTTTCTCCTCAATTCACTGCTTTTCTTTCTCTCTTTTACATACATACTCCTTACTTCTCCCTCACTAGTCAGCATACAGAGATAAAGAATAAGCTGAGATTCCAATCTGAGTCCCTCTACTTCTTCTACCCCTTCATGAATCATAACATTTAAAGGAGTTAATGATGCAGAGTACACAGACATTTCATTTCTCCACATCACCCACTCATCACCACTACTAGCTTGGCAGCTGGGAAAGCCACAGTTATGCCGAGATTGCAATGCAAGGGAATTGCTTTCCCTGGATATTGTCATATGCAGCATAATGAGCTGGTTGGTGGGCTTGCAGCCTTGCAACCGTGCCAAAAAAAGCAATGAAAATGATCCCCCCACCCTCCTTTTCTTCTCTGATGAAATTGTCTTGCTGCAAGTCTTTCTAAAGGGCTTGAGGAAATCGGAGTTTATTAAGGAGCAAAGATGCTGGCAGAGGCTTAAGGTAGGCTGCTCTGATCAGAGGCTGCTCTGGAGAAATATGGAAGTAAGCACAGAAAAAACAAACATATCAGATACATATGGAATATTTGGAAAGATATAAAAAGTGCCAAACAAAACAAAACAAAACCAGAGATGAAGATCCTGCTCTAGTTTGATCTATATAGTATTTCTACTCCTTTTTAGGAAGGATTCACAGCACCTTTTCATCAGTCACATGGCGCCAGTTTGAGAAGGTATTCCAAACCATAATTTAGAGGCAACGGGTGAGCTTTTTTGTCAACCTACTAGGGTAGAAAGGCGAATGATGACCTACCTTCCTAAAATTCTGTATCTCTAAAACTCTAATTTTCTCCATATGATGGGCCAGAAAGCATCATTTGAACCACCCCACAGTTCCTCAGTTCAGAATCTATCATCTGAATGCACTGTACAACTGACGTTAATTAAAATTATATTTATTTTTGATTTCTCATGCCTTTATTATTTTTATAAATAACTCAGGGTGGTAAACCTGAGTTTCCATTTCCTCCTCTTATTTTCCCCAGAACAACAATCCTGTGAGGTGAGTTGGGCTGAAAGAGAGTGACTGGCCCAAGGTCACCCTGCTGGTTTTCATGGCTAACTCCCACTTTCCCACTTTCTAGCCCGATACCTTAACCATTAGTGACTAGACAAACTGGTTCTCTCCATGTATTTAGTTACATTATTTATTTATTTATTTATTTCTTCTTAATATTGTTGATTCAAGCAAATATGGAACATAAAAGCCATTTTCTGTCCGCATATGTCCTTCTCGTATTTAGTTGATTCTAAAAGGCAAGGATTTTCCCTTAAAATGTTGTCAGTTTAGGAACAAGGAATGAGAATAGCGTGTCTCAATATTTATTAGAAAATCTCATTGGCCAATAATTAGGAGAAGATTGAGGGGAGAGAAGAGAAAGGCAATGAAATGGTAAACCTTTCAAACTTCACAATGAGGGGAAAAGCAAACAAACCCCAAGCAATGCTGACTGCAACCTCATGGGAGCTTGTGGCCACCTTTGGTGAAAACTCACAGACTTTTGGTGGATTCTCAAAAGAACCCTTTTTGTACAGCGGTCGACTGTAGAAGCCCACTTCCTCTTTGCCGCCGCCTCTTCCTCCAGTAGGCACCGCCTCAACTCCTGTTCTTCACTTTTGCTCAAGGTTCTGTCAGTCACGGGCCGCACCAGATGCGATAGGTTGAGGTGACTGTACAGGCTTCTTTCCACCACATATGTGATGTTGAACTCGCTGACTGAATTGCACCCTCGAAGCCTTCTGTTTGAGAAGCCACAGCTTCCACCTCTTCCTAGCCTCTTGGGTTTGTGATGAAGCAGCTGCAGATCGCAGATGGAAGGCGAGACACCTTTCCTAGCAGGACGCTGACAGAGAAAAGCTCTAGAACATGAATAATTAGGATCTGCCTTTTTTAGCCGGATCTGCTTCCTGACACTTTGGATTTCCTCCAAAGATACCAGGACATGATGCTTGCACCTGCTGTCATAAAAGCAAATGCTTTCTTTACTTACCCCATGACTGAGAGAGCCAAGGTTCTTCATTTCTCCATCCGTTAAAGAACGACAAACTTTGGGTATTTTATCCTCTTCTGGATAAGAAAAGAATGTCCCAAGCTTTTTGGGCGGTTTTATAAGGCCACGACTATCAGATTTACTGAAGGTCTTCAGCAATTTCCTGTTTGTACCCCAAGTGTCCAGGTAGCTGGATGATGGAGATAAGGTCAGTGAATCACTTTCATTATCTGGCTGTTTTTCACAGGAATTATCCAAAATGAATGGTTTCTTGTGAATTCCAGAGTAAAGTGCAGGTCGACCATCTGGTCCTGTGGGAGTATCAAAGGAGTGATCATCCACACCTGAAAGGGAATATGCCACTATATTAGTTCTCAGTAGCTAACATGGTTGCAACAAAAGAAGAGAGGGAGGGGTTGTAGAGGGAGGGAGGGAAGGAGGGAGAGGTGTATATCCCAAAGTGAAGACTTCTTAGTCTTGTTCGACCAAATACGTGTGGGGATAAGTTAATTCAGATAGTCCTTGACTTACGATCACAATTGAGCCCAAAATTTATGTTGCTAAGTGTTAAGTGAGTTTTGCTCCATTTTGTAACCTTTCTTGCCACAGTTGTTAAATGAATCAGAGCAATTGTCAAGTATAGTAACCGTGTTACTAAAAACAGGGTTGCTAAGTGAGTCTGACTTCCCCACCTTGTCAGGTGACCAAAGGGGATCACATGACTCCTGCACCACCATAAATATGAGTCACAGTTGCCAAGCATGTGAATTTTGATCACATGACCATGGGAGTGCTGCAACCGTCATCAGTTTGAAAGACAGCCATAAGTCACTTTTTTCAGTGCTGTTGTAGCTTTGAATAGTCACTAAATGAACTGTTGTTAAGTCGAGGACTATTTGTAGTTGAAGAACAGAAGAATCTGGGCACCATCAAGGAATAAAACAGATGCATAGAAGCAATACTGGCCTATTGATGGGTGTCTCAACAGTAATAGATGATTTTTTGGAAAAGGCCAAATCTGTGCATAAAATAATTAACCTAACTGAAAATAAATTTCAATCCTAAGAATACAAAAAAGAAAAAAAAATCCAATAGTGAAAAGTTGAAAGGAATAGAATTTACTATGCAAGAATAAATTCAACTATTTATACGCAGTTAATAAAGTAAAATGAGAAATAGATAGGAAGATCAAAGGAAAACCAGATGCAGAAGACTGAGTTTATGAATGAAAGGGGAATGCGGTGTCAGTTTTCATATATTTAAAGGAGTGTAAGAAGGAGCCAGCAGCAGCAGCAGCTCTGGATATAGTCTATTTTGTTTCTAATATACACAACTGTCAACGATGCCAAAGAAATGAATTTAACATTAGAAATAGGTAGTTTGGGCTTAAAATAGTGTCATCAATTGTTGAATTTATTGCCTGTGACGTTTGTGTGCAATAATCTTGCAAAACAGTGGACAGAATTTCTGTCTGAGGGAGTTTTTCTTACAGAATGTGACATTTTAAGTAAGAAAGGACAAAACTAGGGAAGTTGCACATCTATGATTACATGGAGGAGTTAAGGAAAATGATAAGTATCATAACCTATCCTCTCTCTCTATACCTATAGTCAAGCCGAATATAGTGAAAGTAATATATGAATAGAAATACTCTATTTGAAAAGCTGTATTTTTAAAAATTCCTTTCCTCCTCCTTCTGCTTATTAGTAGAGGGGAAAAACCCACACCATATTGTGATATATTTATCCACTTTGACAGTAGAACAAGATATAGTAGGGAAAGAATCCAACAAAATACATTGAATATTTGACTTTTAACTCGAATGTTTCATTTGGATTAAACTCAAAACTTGCAATACATTCACTCAGTTTTTGTACACTAATTTGATTCTCCTCTCAAGTAAAATCCTGAAAAGTATGCACTGGGTTTTGTCAACTCTAAAAAGGCTAATGTTGTACTTAGAAAGGTCACAGCAAGAAATGTCTACATATTTATAGAATAGCAAGAGCTACTACTCATTGTATGAGAAAAAAAGAAACACAAACATTTTTCAAATGTTGGCTGGAAGAGCAGATAACTAAAAGATTAAATATACTAAAAATTAACAGTCACATATTTGCATTATTCTGCAGACTAAAGCTCTACAGAAAATAAACTAACCTTACTTAAAATGATTACATTTCAATCCTAAGAATACAAAACAAAATCCAATTGTGAAAAGCTGAAAGGAATAGAATTTACTGTGGGAACACCTTTGCCTAATGGCATCAGAGATGTGTCTATGAGGACTTCTCCAAAATAGGAAGGCCAGAATCTAGGTATAGTTATGGCATTGGAAGGTTGGGGAGCAAAGAAAATGGCAGATGTTGTGTTCTAGTAATCTGGTCTCAAATGCATTCCGGCTTGTGCTTGAAGACAAATTGGCAACTAGTGGAGTCAAACATAGACCTACCTACAACTGGCTCCCATCAAAAGATCAGATTTTGATGCTGATGAAGGCTGAAATGCCCCCTTTTGACTTGCAACAGAGTCATCAAAATAATAAGCTATTAAGGCGATGTATCACCATAGCAAATGACCAAAAGTGCATTGGTCTCAGCCACAAAAAATGCTTTGAGTTAGAGGTCAAATCCAACACTTACTACAAATATAGTGTGTCTATGTATGTCAAGATAAATTCCTATCCTCTGTTGATCTTTCTTCCCGGGCCAAATACGGATAAGTCTGCATATAGCCTTAATTTATTATTTTAAAATTATATATATACTGTATATATTGTAAAAAATATAAGGGTTTGGTAAATGTTCACAGGAAAATGGTACAGGTAGTTCTCGACTTACAATAGTTCATTATCACCCCAAAAACAAACAAACCCCAACCCAATCACATCTCTATCAGGCCTCTCTTTTCCTCTCCTGAATTTAAATATATATAACTAGTTAGTTATTAGTTATTGCTGCAGAATAATAGAAAAATAACAATATTAGAATAATAATTAGTTATTGCCACAGAATAATATTTAATGTCTATCTGTTATTTTATTTTTAAAATCAGTTCCAAATAAATATTATAAAAGTGAAACTCACTATATTTTACTTTAAAGGGCTAAAATCTCCCTCTACTGTGGAATCAATTGTGGCATTCTCTGACTTCTATTCAAGTGATACGTGTCTATTTTCTGACAAGCTCATCGTTCCTGCTGAAAGAACCATTTGCCAAACTTGAAGGGTGTGGTTTCGGTCAAGCAGATGTTTCAGCATCCCAGGAGAAACTGACTCGCTTTCTAACCCTATGGGATAAGCCCCACTTCCATTTTCTCTTACAGTTTTTCATCCCTCCCGAACCACACAGCTCATTTACGAGTCACATTTCTTGGCTTTAGAACTTGCAGGAGGAAAAGTGACAGAGGCTTTAGGAAAAAAAAAGAAAACCTTTTTAAATCAGAAGGGTAATGTATCTTTTGCTCTTACTTGTACTCTGCTCCCTGCAAACTCTTAATCTGGTACTCGCTATTACATTTCATTAATGAAAATTTCATGAAACATTAGTCACTTCCTGGAAAAGTGTATAATACTCACTTATTCTCCTACTATACTGATAAAGGCAGAACTAAGAATTCTAATCAATTTGGTAGGCAAGATTATGGGACCAGGGAGCCCTTTTTCTTGATTCTGTCCAGTTTCAGGAAGAATTCTGCTTGGCTGATAGCGCTTTCTGCTCCGGGTGCACCCCCCCCCCCCAAAAAAAAGTCCCTTTGGGATTGCAGATTTTTGTAGGATGGGAGGGTAGGGGGAAGGTGGCGAAAGTTCGTCTGATACAGTCCATCCATCTACCAATAATAACCTCTCTATAGCCTTTTCACTGGAGACTGTCCCCAATAAATTATGTTGCAATAAAAGAAGCAAGACTACTCAGCCACACACACACACACACACACACACACACACACACACACACACAAACCCACAGTAGGTAACAGTATCTAGAAAATAGTGTACAATACAGTACAGCCATAAATTCAGACCGCTAATGCAAAGAGCTATTCTGATCCGGCTGATTTATATGAGCACAGGGCATAAAAAAAAATCAATTCAGAGGGCCACCAAATGTTTCTTCTTTTCTTTCCTCTGGCAAGTTTCTCATACGCTTTTTCCAAAGGGATGGCACACCCGCCCTCTCTTTCCCACCGTGCCATTCTGACCGCTACCCTGCACATCTTCTCGTGAAAGCTGCCAATTCTTACCTTCAGTGCTGGGCTTTTTAATTTCTTCCACTCGAATTAATTTCTTTCTCACTCGGCGAGTTGAGTTGACCAACTTATGCAGTCTCTTAAACTTCACTGATTCCTCTGATTCATCATCGGATTGCTCTCTTGACTGGCAGGGAAGCAAAAGGAAATGTTAGGAGAGGAATAGTTGCACAGCTCAAGGCAGGGAAGCGTCTCTTTTTCCAGAGTCCTAAAACAAGGCAAATCCTGAAACCTGAAACAGTTCTTCTCTCATCCTGAATATTCACAATTTCTTCTCCCTCCCTCCCACACGCACACAGAGTACTTTAAAAAGAATGAAACATACCATTTCACTTCTAAATTAGCACAAAGTGAGACCTCAGACACCGAAACGTGTTCCAGTCCTCATCGTCCTCTCTGCCTTGGCACATTGTGTGATAATAGCAATCTCCACGTTGCTTTCCTACACAGCCCAGGCAGGACACTGTCCTAGCACTCTGAGCCCTGTTAGTTAAGCTGCTGTGGTTTGGGTCAGGCAATGGTCTTCCTGGCCTGGCGAAACTTCACATTGAAAAGCCTGGTTAGAAACTGCTTTTCTGCGCTGAATTGAAACACTCTCATTGACTCCTTTTTTCCAGCCTTAACAGGGAAAATCAAAAACAGCAACAGCAGCAAAAATGAGGAGATGGGAAGGGGGAGAGAGAGGGAGAGAGGGGAGGGGAGGGAAACGAAGAGGAGAGCTCATCCTCTCCACTCCGATGTATTTTATTAGTTATAGTCATAGATTTTTTTTTCCTTCTCTTTATCCCCCATCCCGGGCTTCTCATTCTAAAGATTCTCAAGATTGTCTGTTAATATAGACCGAGCATTCCTCAAGAATTGACCAAAGGAAAACTCTGACCTTTGCAGGCTTTTAGTTTAGCCCATATTCCCCAGCTTCCCATCTGGTCTCACATCAGATGCTGCCTGCTCCATTCCAGCTGTTTTCCCTCAAGTATCCAGCATTACAGAGACAGAAAGAATCCTCCCTCTCCAGCAGCAGTGACACCACAGCCTGAAACAATCCATTCCTTGTGAACCAAATCAGAGCTCTCATTTTCAAGCCAGACCCAGCGCTCAATATGCTACTTCCTCTGTTTGGCCCCATTTAGAATTTCTGTGTGTGAAAGTAGAAAGGGGGAGACCAAAAGAAAGAAGGGGGAAAAAAAAAGAAGAGGGGGACTTCACTCTTGGCTTTTACAGTACAGAACTGCCACTGTACAAGGCTTGCATTCCAAGGAGCAGAGAAGATTCCAGCTGGAACTCCCCAAAGGCTCTATTTCGGCCTTCGCTTTCACACACAGCCCTGATCAATTCATCCCAGTTCCAGTCCCCCCAGCTCAGAACCCCAAGAGCAACTTCCTGTGGGTGAACTTTGGGGCATTTCAGTTACCAGGTTGAAATTGGGCCTTATTGTCTAGCTGTGTTTTAAGTCAGACAAAATAGGCCTTATTTAACAGCAAATGTATATAATGTCCCTATGTATCAAGCTGGGGACGCGATGGCTCAGCAATTAAAGACAGCCCAGGATTGAGACCTGAGAAACGCAGGACAGGGTAAGTTCCTGTAAACTCATCCAGGGGTGGGATTCAATTTTTTTACAACCGGTTCTGTGGGTGTGGCTAAGTTGGTGGGCGTGGCTTGGCAGTCATGTTATTGGCTGGACGTGGCCAACTCAATATCACTCACATCGAGGCACGTATCTCTTCACCTGGCCTCTCATGACTGTAGGGATGCTGCAACAGTCGTAAGTGTGAAAAATGGTCATGTCACTTTTTTCAGTGCCATTGTAACTTTGAATGGTCACTCCACACAAGCAAGTACCAGCAAAGGAGGGGAAAAGAACTCGAGGAAAGTTCCAGATACAGGAAGTCTAGTCCTGCCAAGAATGTACTAAGGGTTAACAGAGAGGCAGTTTCTGTAAGCGATACCAGAATGTTTCCTTCCTGCCTTCCTTACAGGATTAGGCCAGTAATTTCTTCTCCGAACTGCTTAGAATGTTTATAACCGGTTCTAGCGAATAGGTGCAAACTGGTAGAATCCCACCCCTGAACTCATCCCAGCTCCTGCCAACTGAGCAGTTTGAAAGCATACAAATGCAAGTAGATAAATAAGCACCACTTTGTTGGGAAGGTAACCGTGCTCCATGCACCTTGGTGTACAGTCACGCTGGCCAATGACCAGAGAATTGTCTTCGGGTAACGAAGGCACCACACATGGAGGTATGTTTCACACCTGAAACCTTTACTTATGTATCACACTAGCCACATGAGACAAAGCAGATCAATTGCCCCCTACTTCCCCTTCTGAGGGTGCATAGGACTTGGTCCACAGTCTTTCAATGATCTTGGAGGCTCACCTTTGCCATTGTCATTTTTGAACTGTAGTGCCCAGAACTGGACACAGAATTCTAGTCGAGTCTGACCAGGATCAAAGGATTATTCCTTGTGATCTGGATGTCTCAGTTTCACTCTACAGTGCTTTGGGCCATTATTCAAACAACTTAGCTTTATGTGCAAATATAATATATTGTCCTGCTTGGACTCTAAAATAAAATAGGACATTTTAAAAATCCTTACAGATACACTCTTTCTCTTTGCATATGTGTAAGAATTTTCTGAGAAAAATGCTCTTCGGAGATTCTGCTGCGTTGAATGCACATGTGTTATAGGAAATGTATGAACTGGCCCGACGTTAAGTAATTCCCTACACAAAAAGGCGTTTGCATATTAATACCAAAAGGGAACATTTTACAGCATGTGGCACTTTGGCTATCCCACTCAGTGGTCAGAATGCTTCCAATTCCACAACTTTGAGTTGTTTGCATCTACAGACATGCATGCCTCTTTCTGCCTGAAAATGTTTCGACATAGCCAGTAACTCTGTGCCAAAAAAAATAGGAAAAAAAAAGAAAAGAGGGCCTCACAACGTGTCATTCTACAGAGTGATTTCTTTGCATATTTCAAAGAAGAAAACACATGGAATACTGTAAACAGGAACAGCTTGGTTTTCAACCACACTGTAAGCCCCCACCCCTTTCATTCAAAAGCCCCTAATGGCTCAAGTCTTAATTATTTTGGCTAATGTCGGATGCAGAAATTCTGTAGTGAATGCTTAAGTGTTTCATTTCTAGTTTCCATGGCAACATTACATCAGATTGCAGACAGCTGGCTCCACAGTTTTAAACCATAACAAATTGACCAAGCTAGTTCAGAAAATTATCCTGCTTTAAAGAGATAGCATGCTATTCAGCCGCCAGCAAAATAGTACAAGGCCAACAGGGCTCACTTTTGGCAAATATAGGAAGGCGGACTCTTTTTCCCAGCTTCTTTTGGAACAAGTGCATCTCTGACACATCAGCAGCGTTCTAATATCAGCAAAAAGTGGGTCAATGCTGGATGAAAAAGCACAGGGGAAATCAGACCAAGAGCATTTGTAGTTGTGAAGTTCCCCAACAATAAACGGAAACAAAACTTTTGCCAGATGGTCCAAAGCTTCCCAACCTAGTTTGCCTGGAAGTTCTCTGTGCTTCTTCATTAACGAAGTGGGATTAGAAGTCAGGAAACTGTTTCAGTTGCTAATATGATCTTCGTAAAAGAGGGATAGTTTTCAGTTTTCTCTGCAAGGTGTGACTCCACTGAATTCTGTATCTCAAGCCAAGCTTATTCATATAATTTGGGGAAGTACGTATTTACCATCTAAAGCGAGGCTCTTCAAACTTGGCAAGTTTAAGACTTGTGGACTTCAACTCCCAGAATTCCTGAGCTAACATGACTGAAGGAGGAATTCTGGGAGTTGAAGTCCACAAGTCTTAAACTTGCCAAGTTTGAAGACCCCTTATCTAAAGAAACAACTCCTGAAAGTCACATTTTAAGGTTTCTGTTTCTTGATCTGTCTACATTTATTGCTTCTTCAGTCATGATCTGCTTTCTAACTATGCCAATAAAGTCCATCTAAGAAATGACTAATTAACATACCAAATTACTGCTTAACTCAGGGGTGTTATACTAGTTTAACCTTATTTCCTATCGGTATCACAACTAATTTTTCTTTTCATGGCTATGTGATTACTTACAAGAAATAGGCGGCATTTCAATAAAGAAAATATATCTTATAATATATTTTATTGCATTTATCTAGAGATAGAGTTTCATGCACATGTTAGGCATCCCTGCTTAAATGGTACAATTCACTCAATTATCAAGTAAACAAAGGCTATCTAATCTTTACATATTTCTGCAAATATGAATGGAGTCTTACTCTTCATATACAGTTGTTCAGAGATTCCCAAAAGGGGCTGATTTGTTAGGCCTATAATTCTACAGATAAATGAATACTGTGAACCCTCTAAGGCTGGGACTGGACTTCCATCTACTTTCAATGTACATTAGTTCTTCTGAACAGCTGTGTGAGGACTTGAAAATAAATACAATTCATTCTTACAAAACAGGAGAAGGCTATTTAAAAGAAAAACAAGAATCGCTTCCAGATAGCAATTTTGATTCTGGCAAACATTGTTAAGAAATGGAAATTACACAAAACCGTTGAAGTCAAGACAAGACCTAGAAGAACAAGAAAAAATCCGCTAATATTGGTCCCCAACTATTCCGCCCAGCAGTTCAGAAACCATAGAGTACTGCAAACAGTTTCCTAAAAAATTTAGCTGACAGGGGTGTCAGCTAATCCATAGTATCGTCAGTCTAAAGGTGCCCACTTTTCTGTCAGCTGGACATTCTATAGCAAAGTAGCTGGTTTTGTAATAACCAAAAAATCTGTGGTATTTATTACATGTACAAACTTACACCTCTTTCTCAATTTTAACTAACATTTAAATAAGATGGTCCAATGTTTTCACAAAGAAATAGCAATGTACTGGTAGTCCTCAACTTACAACAATTGAACCCAACACTTCTGCTGTTAAATAAGAAATTTGCTAAGTCAGTTTGTCCCATTTTATGAATTTTCTTGCCGCATTTGTAAAGTGAACCACTGAAGTTAAGTTAGTAACACGGTTGTTAAGTGAATCTGGCTTCCCCGTTGACCTTATCAGAAGGTCGCAAAAAACACTGCAACCATCATAAATATGAACTGGTTGTCAAGCATCCAAAT